TTAATGACCAATATTTTGGTCGTTGAGGTACAGCTTGCACCACGCTGATGAGGGCCAACAGCCCGGAACGTGTCCGTGGTTAGCTTTTCTTGATTATTCAAGAATGGGTATTTGGCCAATTCTGGAATAATTAAAAATCAACGAGAATATCTGATATTTATTCCGATAGATGGCGCAAGCCATCAGCAATTTCCAGTTGCACGATAAGGAGAAGCCTTTTTCTTTAAAAAACCTAAGGAAGTTTTACCATTTAGCATGTAATTCAGACAATAACTCTGAAAGATATTTGATACAGTGACCTTTATTGAAGAAACACGAGATAAACAAGTATGAACAAAATTGCCTCTGTGTCCTTAAAAATAAAGACGTCCAGCGATATTAAAGACATTCAACTTCCCTAAGTTTTGTCCATGAATGTATATTAACATGCACACATATGTAAAATATCAATAATAATAACTTTTGCATAGAATCTTTTTTTATTAATATAATTTTGAGTAGAAAAAAAGCATATTGTTTAAAGAAACATTTTTATTTTTGTTAAAAAAATGCTCCATTCTCTCTCGTCTTCTATAAGAAACGATAAATAAAAGGGAGTTCCTAGATGTGTCTCATTCAACGTGTGGAAATTCAGAGAGATGCTTTCACAATTCAGTAAATTTCAGGTATTTATCAACAATCTCTTGTTTCTAGACAATTTGACAATTAAAATAATATTATTGACATCTTGTCAATACATGCAAAGTGCACAGTCTGCACTATTTAAAAACGATAATATGCATTATATACACTATGTACAATGAATATGGCGCCTCTGCCAGCGCTGCAGAGTTTGGTGGAGAATGGCCAGTGGGTCTCCAGCGACACCACGTATTTCGAGAGCTACGAAGAATACGTAGATCGCGTACTTCGCCGCTGAGGAGATAGTGATGGCGTGGTTCTCGAGACCTTGTTCCTTGAGGTGTCACACGTTCATCAAGAGCTGTCACAACCCGTACATGGTCAAATCTTATTGAAACAATACATTTAATTTAGTAAATAAAATTCACCAAACACTTTATCTTCACGCCAGTAAATAGCAAGCAGTGCATCAACAACGTCCAGTTGAGTATTGTCAGTTTTGTGAACAACAATTTGGTCTAAATTTACTGTTGTTCATTTTAAGACAACCTATCTAGTGACCTTCATAAATTCAACAACAATCCTACAACGAGAGACACCCTGAATACTTCATAAGCTGTGGTCTTTCATGGGAGGTTTTCCTGTATAGAGGCCATTTCCCCACAAGTCCCCAGTGTCACATACACACAAAGATTTATTAAGACTACTGGTCTTATACAGATTCACTACAGGAAGAAATAATAGGCGTAGCTCCTATACTTCGAGCAGCGCAGCACCCAACAACAGCCTAAGTTCCTAGTATCAAACCTCTATCTAGTTAGACTTCCTATTAGGAACAACAACTCAAAATGATAGATATTCCTGATCTCTTCTGGAATTAGTCGTTTATTGGAGGATGGATAAGTCATTTTGTCGTGTATATAAAATGGTCGCTCATCACAGGTGGTCTCTCAAAGAGGTTTTATTGTACAGTGGGCACCGTGAAAACCCTGCGTGGAAATATTCTCTAGTTTCAGCCTTTCCAGCTTCTAAGGAAGAGAGGTTAGCACGTTCCACTTTTATTGTCCCCACTCCTACAAATCCATGTCTGTAAACCCAATCTTCGATTGGCTTCACTCTATGTGAGGGGAGAAAAATCGATTTTTCTTGTAAATTTCTCCCCACCGAATGTTTTATTTATTGTTGTGGGTTTGTTTGTTTAATGGATGAATGCAGCGGGACTCTGTTCTTGTTGCAGAGTTGTTGTAAAAATGACGGAACTACACTTCACATTGTGTATAGACAATATTGTATTTATGATGGTATATTTAAAATATGAATATAAAGAGTAGAAATACGTTTCTTTATTCAAGCAAAGTGTAAGTGTTCGGATCTTTATAATCCTTCCAAGGACATAGCTATATGAATTGAGAAAATGAGGATATAAAATTTTTAAACTTTATACAAATTTTATCTTCTAATGGAATCTTCTAATGGTATATTTATACGCCATAAAGTAACTATTTAAACGTTGTATATGCTGAATATACAATATATATAACAAAGATTTAAAAAAAGGCATATCCTGACCAGGAGCACATGTGTTTTTTAGAAGGCAGAGCGCCATCTGGTGGATGAGAAATCAACTAAACATTGATTTAGCCTGTTCCCTGATATTTGGCCAACCCAATTTATTGATGAATCAAGAAAAGCCATCCACGAACGCATTTCGCACTGATATAATATATTGGAGAAACCAAAAATATCAGTTTCATATCAATATGAAATTCCCATCCCTGGACACTTTTATTTTTCCGTTTATCATTACTCTTCATAATTCACCTTTTCATACCTCATCCAAAAGGTTAGAAATAATCGTTATTTCTCCTTGAAATAAATTTTGATTTTTCGTTGAAAAGAAACACATGCGGGATAGTATTTCAAATGTCGTTTTACAATCACAAGCCGCATTATATTATATTGTAATATTTACAAGATTTTCTCAGAATAATTGACCAATGAGAGCTATATCTACTTTTATTACCAGTTCTTCAGTTCAGAAGAAAGGTTTGGAAATGCCGTTAAGAAGTTAACTCTAAGAGCTGATTAGAAGACACGCCGTGATTGGCAGGTCTATCCACCAATACTGTTTATTTTTCTTCTTGGACTCCTGGACAAGTCTGCTGGAGCCAAGATGTCTTAACAAAAGACTTCCGTTATATTTGTACATATATATAAAGATAAAAATAAAGAAAGCGTATCCTGACCACGAGCACATGAGCTTTTTAGATGACAGAGCGCCATCTGGTGGAACAAATGCCATCTAAAAAGCACATGTGCTCGTGGTCAGGATATACTTTCTTTATTTTTAATATCAACACCTGACCCACTTATTTTTTATTTTTTTCTATTGTTTTTTCATATAAATATAAAGATGGCATATCTTGACTAGAAGAATATGTGTTTTACAGAAGGCAGAGCGCCATCTAGTGGAACAGAAATCAACTAAACATTGATTTAGCCTGTTCTCTTATATTTGGCCAACCACGAATATTGTACATATATAATACCAAGTAAAAATAGGGTATTAAACGGGCATCGTCTTAGAACGAACATTGTAATATGGGGTAAACTCGCGTATTCCCTCACATGCTGACTTACCAGCCTGTGGTGATGAGAGGCCATAACACTCACGTAAAAGAGAGTTTGTACTGGGGGATGAGGGATTACCAAATCTTAATAACACAAACCTAAACGCAAACTATATTTTTGAGATAGAAAATACTTTAGTAGTTAGTTATATTTATTTATTTATTTCAACACACAAAACGCAATATCCAGGCTAGGTATAATTGCGTCGATTTACATTTTTTTAAAGCAGAAACAGTTATAAACATATTATACAAGAAAAATTGATAAGGCACAATTTGGATTATAGATTATAAACACAAGGTAATAAGACCAAATCTAAATAAATAATTACCATCTTCAGACAACATCTTCAGTACTTTTGTCTGAAAATGGTAACAACGCTGTTACCGAAACGTCACACACTATTTATTTATTTGGATTTGGTCTTATTACCTTGTGTATACAAGAAAAAGTAATCAAAAATAAAAAGAGAAACAATAATATATATTAGGAACCTGAACCTTTCAAGTTAGAAAGATAATCATAAATTTTTTACAAAAATAGTTAAATCTATGATAATTCTCTCTGCTATTTACAAATTGATATAGATCTACAACATTGTCTGTTGTCTAGCGGTGAAGAAGAGTGGGCATTCCAGCAGTAGGTGTCTCGATTCCTGGAACTTGTTTATAGTTATTTGATGTGAATATATATGGAATCACACCGATGGGACTTTTCTCATATATATGAATTCACTCATTGTCAAAACTTAAGGAATTTGTATCTTTCAGCATGTATATCGGGATTCAGACAATAACTCAGATAATGAAAATCGCCGCCTAAAACATCGCTGTTTTGGTCACTTCTGGAGAGATCTATCACTGTAGAAGTTGAGTTATTTCCATTTGTCTGATGATATCACCAAAGTGGTCACTCACGGGAGGTACTACTGTGTATAACTGGCCAAAAGATATAAACTCACGCAGTGGGGCGACCGAATCAATGGCTCATATCGCTATGCCAACCACGGACCGTAATAAACCTCACTGACCATAATGGTGCATTTCCTCCACATAATCGGCTGCATTATTTTTATTACGGCGACTTCGATAAAACTCACCTATCTACTTGTGGGTGTGTGGTCAAGAATAATTATTTCACAGAGTAACACTCTGTAATTATTAAAGCGAAACAATTTATTGTGACAAATATAACATTCTTCTAGGAATTACGGATATTTTGTTAAGAATAATTATAATATGATGCACTAGCGCGCCAACTATTATCAAAATTCGAAACTATTTTAAACGCATAAGATTTTTTTTTGAAATTTGTAAGTAGAAATTGTTTAATTTCAAAAAGACGCGTTTAAAATAGTTTCGAATTTTAAGAATAATTATATTTCATAGTGTTTTGGTATTCTCTCATTGAGTTATATAAAATATATTATTAAAAATAAAGAAGGCATTTTCTGACCACGAGCACATGTGCTTTTTAGATGGCAGAGCGCCTATATTATAGATTGATAAAATTATATAGGAAACATTGTGAGGTAGTACTTAATAATTTCTGATTGTAGCGTTAAAACCTTTTTTTTTACAGAGTAATACTATATCGGTTTATTTTTTATATTAAATTACAATATTAATTACAATAGTAAGTGTTCTTTTTTCTACAAAAGTTGAGAGAAATAACGATTATTTCTAACCTTAGGGATGAAGTATGAAAGGATGAATTGTGAAGAGTAATGATAAACGGAAAAATAAAAGTGTCTAAGGATGGGAATCGAACCCACAGTGTTCTGATTACTGTGCAGATGCCATGTCCACTAGGCTACCCTGGACAGAAGTTGAGTTTACACAAGAAAATTTGAAGTATTTAACTCATCTTTGATTTAAATAATGAATAGTAGATTGAGAGGATTGTGGTAATACTCTTTGTTGACATAGATTCTGAGAGAGAATATATTTTTACGGGCTACTAACCAAAATGTAAGATTTTTGAGCCCAAAAATAAATATAGCAAGCAGACAAGCCGCAATACACTATATCAAAGTACCAAGGTGCTGCACGCAACCAAGGTTGTTCAAAAAAGGTTAGATTCCCCAGGCAAGGGAAGATAAAAGAAAGACAGGTGTTGTTTAGATAAGAAGATTAGATAAAGCCGGAATGATTCAGCAATTGATGGGAAAAGATAGATTTACTTTTTGTAAAAATAAAAATATAAAAGGGGTTTTAGGTAAAAAAATAGATAAAAAATAAAAATAATAATAAATATAAATATATAAACATATATTCTAAGTTAGATCGTTTATATTTTTAGGTTGTGTGTGGAATATGAAGCGCAATTCCATCTTTTAAAATATTGAAAAAATACTAAGGTTATAACGTTTTTTAATCTTTAAAACTCTCTCTTTTTTGGTACAGAATTATTAAACTCATGGACAAAACTTAAGGAAGATGTACCTTTAAGAATGTATATATTTTATTTCAACACACAAAACGCGATATCCCGGCTAGGGATAATTGCGTCGATTTAATATTTTTTAACAAAAACAGTTATAAATTTATTATACAAGAAAAAGTAATCAAAAATAAAAAGAGAAACAATAATATATATTAGGAACCTGAACCTTTCAGGTTTGAAATAAAACCATAAATATATTTACAAAAGTAGTTAAATCTATGATAATTCTCTCTGCTATTTACAAATTGATATAGATCTACAACATTGTCTGTTGTCTAGCGGTGAAGAAGAGTGGGCATTCCAGCAGTAGGTGTCTCGAGTCCTGGAATTCGTTGCCACAATGGCAGCTAGAGTCTTCAACCGCGACAATTTTTGATAAAAATCTATATAGGAATGTATATAGGTATTCAGACAATAACTCTGAAATTTATTTGATACACAGTGATATTTATTGAAGACACACGAGATAACCAAGTGTGAACAAAATTGTCTCTGTCTCCTTCAAAATAAGACAACATAAGACATTAAAGACTTTCGACTTCCTTAAGTTTTGTTCATGAATTCAATTCGCAAAGAGAGTATCTTATTGTAACAGATATTTTTCAACGAAAAATTATTCATACCACAAATACCTATTTGTCAAGTATTTAATTATTTTTTAAAGTTTATAAAAATATTGTTTCATATCTGTTATATATATATATTAATTAATTGTTACCACAGAGTGTGTGTAAGCTCACAGGTAAATAGGCGCTAACCGAAAGACAAAAAAGTTCCTTTGTTTTAATATTAGTTTCCCTTTTATATTTTGTTCTCACTCTTGTAAATCAATAAATATAATGTTTGATTAATAATTATTGGAATCAGTTTCATTAATAATTCTAAGCAAAGTCAACAATATCTAAGTTTTTCTCTTTTAATTGAAAAAGCATTTTACACTTTAATAACAACATTTTACAATTGGATAACATTTCCATTTTTAATAGCTATTTTTCTCTTTGATTCTTTCCTATTTTCCTGCTACAAAATACTGCCCAGCTTTTCAGTTCATTTATTTTTATAATTTTCTTCTCTGCTTTTTTTTTTTTCAGGTTCAACAAAATTCTTATATAAGTTAGAATTTTCCTCGAAGTTTCCCTGTACTTGGATATTCATTAAGGATCAAATTCACATTGAAACTAATATCGCAATTCTAAAATTAATGAATAAAAAGAGAAAAACTTAGATATGAAGAAATATCTTTATAAACTTCAAAAAAATACTGGCTAAAGTATATTTAATTTAAAAAAAAAAACTGTTTTTATTCATTTATCTTTTATTGGTGAGGATTTTCTCGTTTAAAAATATCTGTTACAATAAGATACTCTCTTTACGAAATACATTAATGTACAAAATTTATGGAAGTGGAAAGTCTTTAATATAAGATATTATGAATCATCCAAAATTTAGGCTGGGAAACAGCTTGTAGCGGGAATATAAGATAATCAACTTCATATTTAAACAGTAATAAGAAAGAATTCTCAAAAGATATTTAACTTTTAACAGGTATGAATTTTTTTAAAATAAAACAAATTTCTACTGCCCTTACTGCTATGATAAAATATTTGGAGGGCTTTGCTCATCAGTAGTGAACCCTCCCAGCTGTTTTTCCAATATAATCTACCATAACGCTGTAATATGGTATTTGAATGTTTTCTTTTTAAACCAATACTGAAGCTGAACTCTGAAAATGTATTTCAAAAACTTAGAGAACTCTCAGTTGTCTTTTTCTATTGCTTGATTAAATCAAATAGGATAAAAGTATATTTATTATATAAAACCTTTATAGAATAGTGTTGAAATTTCAAATAAAATCGAAAATAACGATTAAGTATTTTAATATTGATGAAAAGTAATGTCATTTTTTAAAAAGCAATTATAAGTAAATGTGTGAATTATGAATATGCCTAAAATTATATGCTAATAATCTATTTTTTCCATAAATACAATCCGTAGTTATTTAAATTCATATTTTTCTAAAAATGCTAGAAATTTTTCATTTTCAACAAGAAGTCAAAATTAAACGGAATAAAAATTATATGCGCATATTTATAGAAATAACCTTTTGTTAATATTACAATAAATATAGTTTATAGATTAAATATTTAAATAAAAAAGCATTTATTTTAAAGTTTCAACTAAAAACAAAAAAAAATAACTTCAATAACGACTTTAATCAAAAAGGTAAATATAGAATTTTATTAAAATTTTCTTCGCTACCTTCAGCAAAGAAATGAAGGTGTGTGAAAGGTAAATATTACAGAATGAAGCCAAAAAATGGCAGACGAAGAGATTTATGGAGCCTACATCTAATAAAGCGTGGTGGAATTCTTTTTCAAAATCCCACTCCCAGCTTATTACCTCTTTATTCATAGAATGGGTTAGAATAAAAGGTCATTGAGCCCTCCAGCTTATAGGGGCTTACTCTCTACGTGAATATTGAGTTAAACTATGTAGTATATTACCGAAATAATGCTGTTTATTATAATATTCATTTAGAACATTTATACTATATGTATGTAGATTTTATATTTTAGAATAAATACGTCAATTATTTATAAAGAATATAAATCATATAAATAAATAAAACGAGTATAATTTATATTTCTAAAATTTCAAAAAATATATATTTGATATCTGATATTTAAATATAGCCGGCTTTAATAGGTTTGAAAAGTGTCAATTATTTTCACAATTTTTTTATTCAGTTTAAAATCATAAAACAATTGCATTATTTCCTATTATAATTATTCTATTCTTTAATTATTTCTCTGATATTACGTAAACATATTAATTTACGAGAAAATATATCGAAAATTCCTTCCAAAATATTCTTTAAAGGCACACATTTGAAAATATAACAAAATATTTCAGTTTTGTTTTGAATAGGTTGATTTTTTCTAACCTTTTTTGTACTATCAGCAATGTTTGTACTTTTGTTTGTTAGTTAATGTTGAGTTTAGTTATGAAATAAAGAAGTTGACTATTCCTGTTATACAAACTTTAATATCGAACTCTGGAAAATATTGCCACATGGAAAATTAGGAAAGAAAAACTTCGGGATGACACAGCAATTTATTTAAGACAAGAACAAACTATGAATGATAAACAAAAGATAAGGAATGAGGGAAGTTTACAGAGTAGAAAAATATAAAAATATAAATGATACTTTGTTAATAAAATAATAAATACTTTGTAACAATATCCATTGAATAGACTGAAATGTCTAATGAAGTTGTGTCTACCCAATGTTTTATTGTCCACTATCACTGATATGCTAAACATTAAAGAAATATTATGATTCCTTAGCGCGCCATCTGTTATCAAAATTAGAAACTATTACACCCATATCTCGCTTTGCGTCGGGGTTACGTTCCAAAAAAACACGACGCAAATTGAAACGACGCAAAGTGAAAATAAAATTTTGATGGCATGGCGCAATCAAAAACAAAGGTGTTGCCATATTTTAGGAAAAAGAATTTAAAAAAAAAATTAAAAACTCGAATCCAAAACAACACAACTTCGAAAATCTAACGACGCACAGTGAAAATCAGTAAAAATTAAGCAGCGACTCAACTTCGAAAAAAAAAAACGCAAAACGAAACGACGCAAAGCGAGGTATTGGTGTATAGACCCGTATGATTCTTTTAATTTCTACTGCCCTTACTGCAATTTTTCCATTGAAAATTTCTATTGCAGATAGTCTGTAAATATGCCTATTTGTAGAAGGAGCCATATTTCTGTTCAAAAATGTCTCTTAATTTGAATAACATGGAATACTTTGTTTTAATATCAAAAAGAATCATACGCGTCTATAATAGTTTCGAATTTTCACTATAGCAGTATCACTAACTGTAACCTATTAAATCCTTTTTAGTATATTTTGGTTAGTTGAAAAGGTAATTTACAAAGGGGTCAAAACACGTAGTTTTTATACATTGTGTCTTTTTCTCAGTGATTGAGACAAGTACACTAACCATTCTGAGTAAAAATACCAGACCTCCAAGGAAAAGTATCTTTTAAAAAAACTTTTTAATCTCTAGCTTGCGAGCACGAACGCCCTTTCTACAGTAGAAAACAGGTTGTGCAAGATTTGACATGTTTCTGTGGATTGGGGGAACAAACTTCAATACATCTCTTGCTAGAGTGCCCTGTCTTTCAAGATTACAGAGTCAACAACGATTTAATAGCTTTAGGCCCTAGTGATTTAATTTCAAGTAAGGACACATATATAAAATTTAATTTCCTTTGTAAATATATTTTGGATTTCATTAAGAAAAATGGTCTTTGATGTTGCGATCTCAAGGAAATATTGGACATATCTTGTGGTTGTAAACAA